TAATTCATCAACCCTGTTTTAGCTATGTTACACACACTCACGGAATAACTAGCAAATTTCTTGCATCAATTTTCCGCGGTGCTGGAGACAGGCCTTAAACAGACAAACTTGCCCTCCATTATATCTGAACAACATCAACATTCCACAAACAACCGAAGTAACATACCTTGGTGTTCATCTGGATAGAAGGCTTTCTTGGCGTAAACACATCGAAGCGATGAGAAATCTACTTACATTTAAAGCTAGTAATCTACATTGGCTAATAAACACCCGTTCACCACTAAAACTGGAGTACAAAGTACTTTTTTACAATGCAGTTCTCAAACCATCTGGACATACGGCTCCAAGCTAATGGGAAATGCTTGCGTTAGTAATTTAGAAATAATCCAGAGAGCTCAATCGAAGATACTGGGGCACCATGGTACATACGGAATGAAAATATCCTTAGACATAGACATAGATGAAAGCAAAGTATCAGGCAAAGCTTCATGCCCGTCCTAATAGACTTTTGCAGTCTTTAACTTGGCAGACTAGCCATAGACGACTCCGGCGAAGAGACCTCCCCACCCAGCAATAATACTTAGCCAGGGACGTACTCTATATAATTAAGTTTAATTAATTAAGTAAATATGTTAAGTTAAGATTTGCATACTTGTTGCCAGTCTCTAATAGGGAAGATTCAATAAATAAAATGAGTAAAAAAAAAAGTATATATATATAATATAATATAATATCCACCACTAATTACACTACTCGACAAAATTGAACTTTTGATTTAGGCTGTGAACCAAAATGACTTTTTCTGATAGATTTCGGGATTTTAAATGTTTTGTAGAACTATATTATTTTTTTTATGGTGTCATTTTTTTTTAATGAATTTTTAAAATCTGGTATTTTTTATACCCGTACTCAAAAAAGAGTTAAGGGGTATATTAGATTTGTGGTAAAAGTGGATGTGTGCAACGCAGAGAAGGAAGCGTTTCCGACCCCATAAAGTATATATATTCTTGATCAGCATCAATAGCCGAGTCTATATAGCCATGTCCGTCTGTCCGTCCGTCTGTCCATCCGTCCGTCTTGATGAGCGCCTGGATCTCAGAGACTATAAGAGCTAGAGAAACCAAATTTGGTTTCCAGACTCATGTGATATCACACTGCTACAAGTGTATTTCAAAATTTCGCCCCGCCCCCTTCTGCCCACACAAAGGACGAAAATCTGTGGCAGGCACAGTTTTAAAGATACGATAAAACTAAAAACGCAGTATCGTAGAAAATGCCCATATCTACCAGATTGCCGAATCTGAATCAGATCAGATCATAATCATAGCCAGAATGATGAAATTAATTTTCTGTTGCTTTCCCCGCCCCCTCCGGCAAGAAAACTAACAACTGATTCTCTTTCTCGCTCGCACACTCTGCCGCGTTCAGTGCGCGAGCAACCCCTAGCGGAGGAGATGTAGAATCTAAATGGTACATGTATAATATACCTGTTAGATGTAGAATATACATAGTATATGTAGATAACAGATGTAGCAAAAAAATGTAATTTTTTTTTTTTTCTAAAATTCAAAAAAATTATAATCTCAAAAATGTATATACTGACTGAGTACGGGTATAAGTAGAGTCGCGTCCCCAGAAGCGACTCACACGTTCCTTCTCGTTTTCACATAACTTTAGTATCTTATATCTTGTTGCATAGAACTTTGCAGTTCTGAAAAACTGACAAACGCAGCTATAAATCCGACCGGAAGATATTAAGCTTTCAAAAAAAAAAAATTCCATGTTTAGCTCTTTTAGTTGTGTTTTGCTCTAATTTTCCTCTAATATTAGTCTAACCCCTAGTCATTGCATATCAACCTCCAGACATGGACAGTATCAATGGTATCAAATTTTTCTATTCCCTAAGCAATTCGTATTTTATCCTACATTTCAGTATCAATGCAAAATTATGATGTGTAAATAAGTAGCGGTGATCAGAAGAATGTTTGTGTGGGTTGTGTGAGCGAGCCATTCGGTGTTTGGCGGTTGACGACGCGAGTGGATAAAAATCATTTATCTATACTATAAATTTGTAGAAAAATAATGTTTGTGTAAGGGGCTATCTCCGCAACGCTTCACCAAATTGCACGATAGAACGATAAATGAAAACAAGAGTATGGGGAATGGTTTTTAATTTTCTATAAATAGCTTCCTCAAAAATTAAAAATTAGTCAAAAAAATCTCCAATTTGGGCCTGTAAGAACCTATCTCAGGCTGGCTCCTTCAAAATAAGATAATTTATAATTCACGAGGACTTTATTGGGAAAAAGGGGACTTTGACAGCAACTGAAATGAAATGATTAGCGAAATCACAAAACTTTGATTGATTTTTAATGTGTATCTTTATTATCCGTCTTATCCCGCTACAGGGTTATTTTATGTATTAGGTTATTTTTATTTGTTCTACGACGTGTATGGTGGTTCGTGTATGACCGACTGCCGACTTGCGTGTTTTTAATATGCCTGACTGCTATGGCTATGGCTATGGCTATGACACAACATAACGAGCCGTGGATCTCATGGTTCGTCACAAGCACACGATGCAACGCTACTCCCAGGTGAAGATATCCACTCCAACGAATTAGAAGACGCATTACAGTCCGAAAGACAGAAAGACGTCGACCGAACAAAGAAAGAAAAATTATTGATTATTTTATTTATTATTTTCTGAAAAAATTGCAATTCGTGTAAGTAAATTTGTTGCTTTTGAAAATGTGTGCGTGACGCCGATCGACGATGACCGCATAGGAATTGCCTTCAACACTTCAGTATATCGACACCGAAACATGATATAAGCACGTGACGCACTATATGATGTGTGTGATGTGTTTTATTCTGTAGCTACCCCTACATGTAGGGGTGAAATACATTGACTTAGGTCAAATCTCAACTGTTTAGTCGCTACATACCGCAGTCTTTCTTCCTAGTCTCTTGATCTCGCCAATCTGAATAAATCCGAAGCGGGAAGCATGGCTTGTCTTCCTAACTTTAGTGTGACCAAATAGCTAGTCTCTTTTTTTTTTTTTTAATTCATTTATTATCTTAATAGTATGTATGTCCAGAGTTAATAATGGATCTGGCTTGGTGAGTCGTTCATGTGCGGTACGGCCGTGAAGCATTGCTTCGCACATGCGGGGTCCTCGCCTAGGCTATCCGCTCCCTTCTCTCGCGCTCAACAGTTTAGTCATGACAGACGCCGCGAAGTTGCTGGCCGCTTCCCAGTGCTCCGGAGACTGGAGCATCAGCGGCACCAGGTTCTGAGCGGTAATGGCACCACCCAGGGCGACTCCAAGAATGCTTCTAGTTTCGGCAAATCTGCCGCACGAGAAAATTACATGTTCGGCATCCTCCTCAACTCCTCGCCCGCACCATGAGCACTCCGCAGACTGTTCATGCCCAAAACGATGCAAGTATCTGCGAAAGCAACCATGGCCGCTGAGGAGCTGCGCCAGGTGGAAATTTACCTGCCCGTGCCTTCGTTCCACCCACTGCTCAATGGCCGGGATGAGCTGGTGAGTCCACCGTCCCTTGGTGGACGTATCCCAGCGATGTTGCCACTTGGACAAGCTCTGCTGCTTGCATGCCGTGCGCACATATCTCTTCTCCGCGTCGGTGATGCCTCTGCCGTGAGTCTCCCTGTAGTACGTAGCCCGCTCGTCCGCCAGCAGCTCGATGGGAGCCACTCCAGCGATCACGTGGGCTGCCTCGTCGGAGACCGTTCTAAAAGCGCAGATGATCCGTAGCGAGGAGAGGCGGTGCGTGGATACTAATCCTCGGGCGTAGCTCGCCGTTTTGAGGGCGTTGGACCAGACCGGCGCCGCATAGAGCATCACCGATCTCGTCACGCTAGTTAAAAGGAGTCTCCGCCAGTGTTTTGGTCCACGGGTGTTCAGCATTAGTCTTGTCAGTGCCGCATTACTGGACGCTGCCTTCGCACTCGTGTAGGCTAGGTGCTCTCGGAAGCAGAGCCGTGTGTCGATCATGACCACCAGATATTTCACCGCTCTCTTGGACGTCACTGTGGTGTCTGCGACCCTGATGCAGGCCGTCTCCACCCTCTTGCGGCTGGACACCAGCACTGCCTCGGTCTTTTGAGGCGCGAGCTCAAGTCCGACTTGATCCAGCCACTGCACTATGGGGCATTTGACCACTTTTTGTGGCATTAATTAATAACTTCCAAACGAAACAATATTTTTTGATTTAGTTTTTTGATATGAGTTTATAATAGTGAAAGGAAGGTTTGTTGGAAAAATGGGCGTGGCACCGCCTTTTTTTCGTAGAAAAATTTAATTTTTACGCTTTTTCTTCAACATTTAATAAACAAAAATTATGGGAGCATATTAAGCTTGGCACACACTAAAAATAATTAACAACAAGCAAAAATTATTTTTACATGTAGTTTTCTTCAAAATTGTTACTAGGCGACCTGTAATATACTTTCAAAATACTCATAATTGCGCCCTCTTTTGCTCTTTTCTGAGTCTCTCCGCACCACGCGGCAAACAGCTGTGAATTTGCAATTGTTCTTTTGTGACCTAAAAATGAAGATTACGCCGAAGACGCAGAAAAGCGCAAAAAAAAATAACATAAATTGGATTAAGAATTGAATACTCTACAATAACTATGCAGTTTAATGCTTCCGGCGGGAACCGAACACTTTGTAAGTCTATTCAAAGACAAATTTTCGTCACAAAAATGGACTTGTTAAAAAACTAGCCATTAAACATAATATGACGTCAATTTTTTCATTTCAAACTCACAAACACATTTTACATACCTGTTCCAATCGAGCCCATTATAAAAGATTCACTTAAATTGATCAATTCGGCAATTGTTGCACTTTAAACTTCAGGAAAAAAGCAAGATTGCCGATAACTTTCTGTTGATCGTAGCAAACAGCTGACTTTAACAGCTGTTATCTTAACAGTGGTGCGCACTGTTAATTTTTTGGGTACGTTACATTACGGACTGGTGTTATTTCTACGTATACCGGTTAAAAAAATATGACTTTTCCGACTTTTGAAAAATGAGTTTCGGCCAGAGAAAGTGGTCAAATGCCCCATAGTGCACTGCTGGATGAGCAAAATCGTCTGGTTGCAGGTCGACTCCGCCAGGGTCAGCTCTTTCGCAACCACCAGTATGGCCACGTCGTCTGCGAAGCCCACCACGTGCACTCCTCGGGGGAGCCTGAGTCGCAAGATGCCGTCGTACATCACATTCCAGAATAGAGGGCCCAGCACCGAACCCTGGGGGACGCCACCAGTCACCTCGTATTGCTCTGTACCGGTCTGCGTATCGTACAGTAGCAGCCTCCCTTCGAAGTAGGGAGTACGCACCATCCGTAGCAGATAAGCTGGGGTATTGAAGCTCTCGAGGGCCCTTAGAATGCAGCTCCACCTTGCTGTGTTGAACGCATTTCTGATGTCAAGCGTGACCATCAGACAGTACTCCTTCCCTCCCCCTTTCCACCGCGTGCCGGCGATTGCGGTGGAAGCTATGTCCACCACTCGGTTTATGGCGTCGATGGTCGATTTGGCCTTGCGGAATCCATACTGGTGCGGTGAGAGATCGCCCGCCTCCGTAATGGCACGTGTTAAGCGGGAGCACAACACCCTCTCGAGCAGCTTTCCTGCTGTGTCAATCAGGCAGATTGGCCTGTAGGACGATGCTGGTCCTGGTGGTTTGCCCGGCTTGGGAATAAGCACAAGTTTCTGCTTCTTCCACCTCTCAGGAAAGACTCCTTCTCGAAGGCACTGGTTCAGCAGCGCAGCGAAAATTTTTGGGCGCAAGGAGAGGGCGAGAATCAGGGCTCTATTTGGAATAGAGTCAGGCCCTGGTGCCTTGTTCGGGTTTATGCTGCTGGCTGCGATTCTAACCTCCTCCAGCGTCACTTCTTCAAAGGCGGGCTGGTTTGAGGTTTCCTGTGGGCTGGGGGTGTCTGCTTTTTGCCGCCCATTTTGTCTGCCACTAACCGGTATGCCCTTCCCCAGGGGTCGTGCTCAGCAGTGTCGCAGAGCGCCAGGAAGCACTTGCGCTTGCTCTCCTTTATGGCCGTCTTGAGCGCGCGTCTGCAGTCCCTAAAAGCCACCTGCAGTGGCCCGCCTAAAGGGTTTCCGCGTGATCGCTGGCAACGTCGACGTGCATGGTTGCATTCCCGGAGTAGCTGGGCAATATTCTCGCTCCACCAGAACACGGGTCGGTGGTGGCGACCATATTGCCTCCTCTTGGACATAGAGGCGTCGCATGCTGACTCCAGGCCCTCCATGACGTGGTTTGCCATACATTCCGCATTTCCACCCGCCGTAAGGTTCGCCGCCCGCTCTGCGAACAGCGCCGTGTTCATGCTGTCGGCGCGGTAGCATTTCCATCTGGGCTCCGCCGGTACTGTGCTACCTCTCCGCTGTCCGATATGGCATATGATTGCCACATGATCGCTCGCCGTGTATGCGCTGCTGATGCTCCAGCTATTTAGATTGTAGAGCGAGCTGCTGACCAGGGTGAGATCAACTACCGAACCGACTCCTGCTCTAGAGAAGGTGTGCTCCCTTCACTGGTTAAGAAGAGCGATGTCCAATGGAGCGAAAGTCTCCAGCACCGCCCTGCCTCTTGCATTTGTCGCAACGCTTCCCCACTCCTCAGCCCATGCGTTGAAGTCGCCTCCAATAGCCACTGGGTGTCGACCTCTGACATCCGCCGCAAGGTTATCGAGGATACCTGCAAACTCGTAGAGGGATAGGCTTGGGGCAAGGTAGACGCTATAGACCCACGTAGCTCCAACCTTTGCACGAACATACCCACTCGCACGGCTAATGTCGGTGAACTGGTAATCGCCGCACATCCACAGCGCCGCCTTTTTGGTAAAATCTAGAATAAAGTCAGCCGACTCCCTGACCTTGTATGGCTCGCTAAGGACAGCGAGGTCTATCTTTAACTCCGCTACAGTTTGGCTCAAGAGGTCTTGAGCCGCAGCACAGTGGTTTAGGTTTAGCTGCAATAGCTTCATCTTTGGGGCGGCATGCTGGATCCTCCCTTGGCTGCTGGACATCTTGAGCTGCCCGCGTAATGTTGCGTCTCCTTGGCTTTGTTGGCGATGCAGATGAAGCAGCTTGGGTCGCTCTGGCAGGTAGCTGCTTTGTGCCCATCTGCGCCACACCTGAGGCAGCATCCGGTGCGATCCACCGTGCTTTTGCACACGGCTGCAAGATGTCCAAACTCTAGACATCGGTAGCATCGCCTCTGAGATATCCGCTGCCGGAGCTGACAGATCGACCACCCGACTTTGATCTTCCCCGGTGCCAGCAGGGCTTTTGCCTGAGTGGGGGGCAAGCACACAAACGCTATTTGCGTTCCAGCATAAGACGGCCTCAGGCTTTTGACCGCTGCAATGTCCACGCAGGGTACGCCGACATTTGCCGCCACCGCTGCTGCGACATCCTCCTTTGTGACCAGGCTGTCAAGGTCTCATCTAGAGTTTCGGTCACCCGATCAGCCAGTGCCTCGGTACCCCTGCTTCGCCGTGGTGCTCTTGCTCCTTTCAGCCGCCCTTGCCGCGCTGGTTTGTCGCGTCCGGCCTCGGCTCGCGGGGACGAGGTTCCTTTTTCTTTCTCACCTTGGGGCCCACCTGTTGCCATTTGAGCTGCTTTCTCGCGGCTGGGGTGGCAGCATGGTCCACTGCGCCGGAGGGTGTCATCCCGACCTCATCCAGCGCTGGCAGCTCAAGCTGAGTCGTCGGTTGCTTCTGCTTGGTGCCTCTTTGTAGGCCCAAGGGCCGGCTGGGGAGACTCTCGTAGCCTCTTCGTTCCTGCTGGTGGCGGATTCATGGATGTTTGGGTGCTCTTGGTGGCGGTCGCAATCTCCCTTAGGTGCAGCTTGTCGCAGTTTTTGAGAACTAGCGCCTGCAATGCAACGATTCTCAGCGCTAGATCCTTCATGGGGACATCAACGTGGCGCTGGTCGTTCATCCTCTTGACCAAATCGTTCGCGCGCGTGCAGCGAACGTTCAGCCTCCTTGCCATCGGTACCAAGGTGGAACATGCTCGATCCAGTTGCTTTCGCAGGTGCCGAAGGTGGTGGGGATCTGGCAAGTGCGCTGCGCTTACCAAAGACTGCCTCTTCAGTCATGTTGTCAATCGGGGTGTGTGGTGTGGAAGTCATAGTGTGAGGGTCTCAACTCGGGTTCGTTGTTCCTGATCGCAGTGCGTAGTCACCATCGCGATCCCATGGGTGCCTTTCCGTGGAGTGAGGTCCATGCGATGGTTGACTCGGGCCTTATGAGCACCAGGGTTCAGAGCCAGATCGGTGCTAATTGGGATATAAATCAACCAATCCTACGCATCCACCTAAATGGAACGACCAGCAAGCGTTTCCCGAGGCCTGCCAAGGTTTTAACGAGACGGGGGCAGTGAGGACATTAGCCTACGAGCCATTTCAGCAGCGGTTCAGACTGCCTAGTCAGGTCGCAGAATGCCCTCACCGTCAGCCCAGAGTCCAATGCACGTAGGCGGGGTTCCAGTGGGTCGTACGTAACACCTTACTGGTCTCGGTTTTACGGGTAGGATGTGTCTACCGTTGCGCTATCGTCCATCAGCGACTGCGGCCATAATTGGTCCGCCATACTAGGCTCATTTGGGGCGTCCCACGTCGGCTGTGCATTTCTTCCCGGCTTCTGAAGATGGGGGTAATACCGCCCCTTCTCGGTCGCCAGGGCCCCGTTTGCTGGTACGCCGCCAAAGCGGTGGGGTTGGCATGAGGTCAGGTCCGCGACCCGTTTAGTAGCCGCTGACCCCAATGCGCCTTTGTGGATAGTTACGTCCATAGTATCTCCTAGTATAGTATCTCCTAGTCCTAAAAGCAGCACTCGGAGATTAAGGGGTCGTTGCCTACTTTTAGGGTGGATAAGGATAAGGCGCCCTCTGTCGGAGGCTGAGTGCTGTACTCTGTCGGTGGTTAGCGTCCAGTACCTTTCAGTGCTACCTGTCAGCGCCATCTGCCGGTGTACAAATCGCTGTGTAGATACTAAACTTAGTATCGCAGAGAGTGCTGGAGCCCTGGCTAGCAGCTGGTATTCCGCATTTGCTAGGAAGAAAAAGAAAGCGAACGTGGAACGTGCCAGCGTGCTCACCTTGACATAATAGCCACGTTTACAATACCCCAATCGAGTTGGCTTTCAAGGGGCTGTTTTGCGCATACGCACCGTGCTGGCAACACCTCTGCCAGGCACGGCAACTCCGTCGCCCTCCATATTGAGTCGGAGAGAGGAGAAAAACTCACTCTCCCCGGGAGCTTCGTGCGTGCGGCCAAAAGTGTGCGCTTGAGTGTGATTTCGCGCTGCGTTCTCCAAGACCGAATTCCCTGCGAATCCTGCTCAGCGGTCTCCTTGGCCTGCAATCTGAGTTACGTGGATCAGGCAGGGAACTGGGGAGCGCCATCATTGGGTACGTATGTGTGCTTTAACTCTGCCCTTCCATGGGTCCGATTTCTGTCTCTGAGTTGCAGCCATCGACTTCACTCAATGACTGCCGCCGTGGCCGTGGCGACAAACGGCAATAAAAACGCCCAGAACGCGAAATGGAGGCGGCTTCGGCGTGGGAGTCGACCGTCCACGCAGCCAGAGCGGCATCGCGACCGACCAGTCCGCAATGCACCCTTGGTTGACTCCGATGAGCCCCGAGACGCGGTGCAAAAACAGGAGCGACGGGGCGCGCGACCGTTCTGAATAAGCCACTCAAACACTCTCTCTCTCAAACACTCTCTCTCTCAAACACTCTCTCTAGTCTCTTGAGAAATACTTTATGCGAATACAATCGATCATTAGAGCTAATCCGTTCCAGCCCTGTTAAGCAGCTGCATTCACCACATCCAGTACAGCTAACTTGGAGACGGGACGCATCATCACCTTGGATCGATCGTCGCTGGCGACACCACCGCTCGTCGTAGCACACCATCCACTCCAGCGTACACTTCCTCCACGATGCCTCTCCTCCATTTTCTCCGTGGTATGGCCATATCGCGTATGTACACGACATCGCCACGGCGCATAGGTTCGATATGCTCGCACCACTTCTCCCTGCGTACAAGCGCAGGTAGTACAATACGCCACAGTTTCCTTGTGGCGAATTTTTCAGGCGGTTGACCATCGTCTCCTGGAAGATCCGGTACACCAGCTGCTAGTTTCAGCTGGTCGTTCGGTGTCAATAGGGCTTCTTGATGAGCCGTGACTGGCAAGTGGGTTAACGGACGCGAATTGAAAATATTTTCCGCCTCAATCAGGAAGCTTCCCAGCACGTGCTCCACCTCCTTCACCGTATCCGCCAGCACCTTCTTGACGCACATCTCCTTCGCGAACGGCTCACTTTGCGCCCGCCTGATCAGCATGCGCTCTGCTTGGCGCACTCAGTATCTACTCAGTATAAACCTGCGGACCCAAGCAGTGGCCCTGACCAGTCGGTTGTAGCTCGAGAACCTCTGCAAAGATATATAGGTGTTTGCTGTAATCAGCGCAAACTCATATGGCATCTCTTCTTCATCCGCGGTTCGCGGGCAGCCGTGATGGTGGCAGGAAGAAGAAGATTTCGGTCACATCTCAACGGGTTCCCGTAGAAAGGGAGGCCACCTTAGCCAACGTGATCCTTGATCAAGATCAACATGGATTTGCGGCCGCGTTGGATCGTCTGTCACGATTTTGTCAGACGGTATCCATTTCCGTTTTGATACTTCCGTTGACTCCGAAATCTCCGCCACCCGGCTTGCAACGAGCTGCTTGTACCGCCGGTGGGTGCTGCTACCTAGCGCAGAACCGTTTTGGAGTCAGTCCAGAGTACGCAGCTGCTGATCGATAAACCGTGCTCCCTGGCCGGCACGCGTCCTACGCCAAAGTAGTGGCGCGGACTTCGGAACCGTATCACGTGGCTCATCTCTAGCCTTCAGCTCTAAAACGCTGTGGCCAATTCATCTGGCAACGGCTCGTCCCAGTCCACTACTCTCCGCCAAATCTCTCTCATCAGCGTTTTGGCGGTCACCATGTAGCAGCTCATGAATCCGATCGGGTCAAAGGTAGACATTATGAGGCTTAGGAACTCCCTCCTGGTGGTAACATGTTCCCCGGTCTTCACGCTGCTGGGCTGATGGTACTTCACGCTGAATTTGAAGTCATCTGTAGCCGGCTGCCAGTACATGCCCAGTATCTTCTCCTCAGCTTCGGTCCATTCGACATTCATATTGGATCCCAGCACTACTCAAAAAAATTGAACATTTTCTTTAGTCTGTGGACCAAAATGACTTTTTTTTTATAGATTTCAGGATTTAAAAATTTGTGTAGTACTTTATTTTTTTATTTTATAGTGAAATTATTTTTAAACAAATTTTTTAAATCTGGTATTTTTCCATGTTTTTTTTCAGAGGTATTGCTTTTTTTTCACATAACTTAAGTATCTTATATCTGGTTGCATAGAACTTTGCAGTTCTGAAAAGCTGACAAATGCAGCTTAAAATCCAACTCAGACACTTTGTATCTGCAGCTTAATGCCTGGAAGATATTAAGCTTTCAAATTCCAGTATCATCATTTTTTGCGCTGTTTTTTTTTTCGAACTTTCGACTTTAAAAACTCGCGAAAAGTAAAAAAAAAATACATCTTGGCAAACATTTTTAGTTTTAGATATACGCATTAATTAGGCGTCGTTTAAGGTATTGTTCATTAAAATCTATTGGTCAACTTGCAGCCGTTTGACCAAAACGACTCAAAACTAATTTTACCTGAAAAATACCGTTGCTGGTCCAATGCCAAAAGAACACGTTCAGGTACCAAAAATTCAACCCCTTTTCGTTTGCTTTGTTTCCAATTGGCAGTTGGGCCCGCAACCTTCCAAAAAGTATTTTTTGTCTATTTTTTCACTTTTGAGGTTTGGTTAACGAATTTTAGCTCCACTGCTTATCCATAAATTTTAATTAACAATTCATTAAACGACGCTTAATTAATGCGTATATCTAAAACTAAAAATGCATATAATTTTCGAGGTGGGTCGAGGTGGGTCTTCGGATACTTTTCCAGTATATACCGACCTTATTTTTTGTTGATCTGAGTACTGCCTTCCGAAGAGAGCCTAGAAAACAGTTTTTGCCGTAAAAAATTTCTTATCGGTTTCATACGAATATCAACCCTGATTCTGTTCGCGAGGTGTTTGCTAGCAAACAGATGTCATATATTTTTCGAGCGACCAGTGATGTGACCAGAGGTGTGCACTGCATTCCGAACGGTTATACTGCTCAGACCGCTGCTTGGTTTTGTTTAAAGTTAACAAAATGCAGTTCTTCGGCTGGGGCCGCTCTTCCCCAGGCACATCCTGGGCTCCCCAATATTTTATTGGCAAGGTAATGTGTCTGACTATCAGCAGCAGCAGATGGCGACGCCACCCGTGCCGACCACCGTGAAGACAAACTGTTTTGAAAGCAATATTTGTTTTATATATATGAAAATTAATAAAAATAATATATTATAATATACATATAATTGTCATTCATATAATACTGCATTAATAAGATTATATTTGTCTTCATTATAAAAATCTTTCATTTGGTTTTTTGTGCTCTTATTGCAATGTTTGCTTCGTGTTTTCTGGCAAAAGATATCAAATTGATATCTTTTTCGAGGTGGGTCGAAACATAACAAAAAAACAAGCAAATACTTCTGATAC